ACTTGTTGGAAGTTGATTGGATCATCTTCCTTCAAGTTTAAAATATTTTCATGCTCTTGAAGAAACACAATATAATCATCCGGAATTGCATTTCTCCTTTCTCTAGTGGATCTCCTTAATGACACTTCTTGAGTTTGTTGAGTTTGTTCTATAGGTGGCATAGGGGGTGTTTCATTATTGTCTTGACCCAAAGCAATGTCAGGGACCAAAGCCTGTTCCATAACAATGTCATGAACAGGGACCTGATCATTAATTGCTTGTTCCGTAATTTCATCTTGTATGATGACAATATTAGGAAGAGAAATATAATTTTCTTCCTTATCAAAGACAACATCCCTTATTTTATCTTCCCCCCCCCCCCCCAAACTCAACATCCTCAAGGAATCTAGCATTTCCCGTTTCAAAAAAGGATCTTGTAGTGGGATTATAAAACTTAAAGCCCCGAGAGTGTTCAGCATATCCAACAAAATAGCAGTTGATTGTTCTTGAGTCCAACTTTCTTTCATTTGGCCTATAAGGCCTTGCTTCTGCTGGACAACCCCAAATGTGTAAATGCCTTATGTTAGGTTTCTTTCCATTTCATAGCTCATAAGAGGTTTTTGTCACTGCTTTGCTAGGAACCCTATTAAGGATATAAACTGCAGTCTTTAGTGCTTCTCCCCAAAGTGATTCTGGAAATGAAGAATGACTAAGCATACTCCTCACCATGTCTTTAAGAGTCCGGTTTCGCCTTTCTGCAACACCATTCATGCTAGGTTTACCTGGCATTGTGTATTGCGGGACGATTCAACACTCCTTTAGGAAGATCGCAAAGGGCCCTGGACGTTGTTCACCTGATCCATCAGATCTACCATAGTGTTCACCACCACGATCAGATCTAATGCCCTTAATATTCTTGCCTAACTAAAGTTCAACTTCAACTTTAAATTCTTTGAACACATCCAATGATTGTGACTTCTCTCTAATCAAATATAGGTATCCAAATCTTGAATAGTCGTCTATGAATGTGATAAAGTATTGTTGACCATTCCAAAAGGCTATAGGAAATGGTCCTCAAACATCCGTATGAATCAATTCTAAGACGTCTGAAGCTCTGTTGGAACCTATTTTCCTTATGTTTGTCTGTTTCCCCTTTATGCATTCAATGCACACCTCAAAATCATCCAGATCAAGGGGTTCAAGAATTCCATCAGTCACAAGCCTCTGAATTCTCTGTTTAGAGATATGACCTAAACGCTTGTGCCACAGAACCAGTACCAACAAACTAAAGTGAGAGTCATACCCTTCTTTTCGTGCCATGCCTTGTATTTGGAACACTCTTTCTTCATGTGTCCAGATTTCTTACAAAAAATAAATAGGTGAATTACTGGTCCTGCTTCTTTTGCTTCTTTGGCAAAGCATCCGCATTATCCTTAGCTCTCTTTCTTTCTTTTCTTGAGAGGTTGATGCCAAGTGAGCACTATCAGTCTTCTCTCGCTGTAACCTCTCTTCTTCTTGCACACAGTGAGAAATGAGCTCATTAAGAGTCCATTTTTCCTTTTGAGTGTTATAACTCACCACAAATTGACCGTATTGTGCAGGAAGAGAGATAATAACTAAGTACATGAGCAACTCAGAAGGCAGCTCTAACTTTAATGCCTTTAGTTTTACAGCAATATTAGACATTTCCATAATGTACTCCCTTATGTTTCCCTTTCCTTTATACCTCATGTTTATGAGTTTGGACAAGGTTTGACTAATTTCATCCTTTTCATTTCGAGCAAAGTATTGCTCAAGTTCCTTCAGAAACAACTTGGCATCAGTAGTCTCAACAATCGAGCCCCCTAAACGCCTTCGGAATGAAACATTTCATGATCATCAGACACATGCGATTTGAGCATTCCCACTTCTCAATTTTATCCATGTTCAAATTTTCCTGAGTGGAAGTGGATTTCTCAGTCCTTAGTGCATTGTCGAGATCCATGCAGCCGAGAACAATTTTCACATTCTCTTTCCACAGCTTGAAATTTGCCCTATTAAGCATTGGAAGCATATTCATTTGAGCAACATAATTGGCAGCGGTAGCAGAAACTATACAGAGAACAAAAAAGATAACATACTAATAACATGTCATGTCATATATATACATACACGACGATATAGACAAATAATCCAAAGTAAAATGAGTTTATTATAAGATACCTAGCACAACATTAATATTTAGTCTGTAGACAAAAATATCAACTTGTAAGTGGTACTCTTAATGTAGTAATCAAACATTGACAATAAGTCATGTCAATTCATAGTCTTCCTGTGGGCCGACTATAAATTACATGGAGAATTCTTGATAATTGTCACATATTTATTACCACAGGTATGTTTGTTACTTGGCCAAATAATAACCTTCCTGTGGGCCGATCACTATCCGCATAAGCAATAAACACACACATGATCACACAACATATGTTATTTGGCCAAACAATAACCTTCCTATGGGCCGATTATTATTTACATAAATAAAATATATTTATATGACCAACCTATTTGAAATCAAATTAACCTTTATAAATTTGGCCACTGTGACGGCTAATAAATCTATCATATTCAATTTCAAATAGAAACCTTTAGGGATAATAAATAAATTTAAAAATAATAATAATAATAAATATAAAAAATATTTATTATCAATTTTAATGTATTTTCATACATACTGTTTTCATCACAAAATAAATAACGACACTGATATTAACAGTTATGAGACATTAGTTTACGAATTGCAAAATATAATCAACTTTAAGAATATATAATGCAACGGAAAAATTGCAAAAATATACCAACAATTTACAATTATATTGTAATCAAATATTGTAACAGTACAACCTAGATAACTTACTATATGTGTACTGTGTACAACCTATTATATTGTAATCAAACATATATATATATATATATATATATATATATATATATATATATATATATATATATATATATATAAATAATTTGAATGCCAATATATAACTTACATGTGGAATATCCATTCGAATGCCAATATATAACAATTCGAATCGCTAACAAATTGCAACAATTTGAACGGCAATCCAGACGGTGATTTGTAATTCACGAAAATCAAGATAACAAGTGTATAGAATGAAAACAGGTATATATACTGTTCACGAAAAAGGATCGGTTGCAATTGTATTCTGATTGCAATACGGATCAAAGACGGAACGCAGATAATTTACAGATTTAAAAAAAAAAAATCGCAATTGATTATGGGTCTTATAATCATATAAACCAGTATCTCTATTTAAAGCCATATATAAGGATCAAATCAAAACTTAATTCCTTCATGATTCAATATGATTATGGCTCTGATACCAATTGTTGGAATTTTTAATTTTTCTAAACCTTATGGTGATAACTATCACCTACAAGGCCAAGATCCATCATACCAAATCATAAAAAAATAAGAACATAAAGGTGGAGGCCTACCTGTCTCCATTGCAGCGGAATAACTTTGATCTTGTCTGTTGGGGTTTGTAGTCTTCCTCGATCAAATCACCCTAAAACCGAATTCTTTAGTATGTCGTATCTCTCTTGATGGGAAAGAGAAACTAGGGTTGGTATTTGACGTCTTGAGGATCATAACCCTTATAGTGTTTTTATCTTTATTATTGGGTCAATAAGCTCTCATTATATCTAGTTGACCCAACACTGATATCCACTCATTCAACCATACTCACTTAGGAATCTATTTGGGAATATTTAACTGATCACTTTAATTTACCCAATATATATAAATAGCACAATATAATTATTAATATAATATGTGACCCACAATGATTATTAGAAAATATAATTTCCTAACAACTTGAGATCTGTTTGATCCTAATTATTTTAAGTTGGCTATGAAAGTAGAATCAAAATTCAAATTATATTTTCACCTATTAGCCTGCGAATGAACTACAACCATTAATACATTTAGGGAGTGTTTGGTAGGATTTTTGGAAAATTAAATTTTTTTAAATTTTTAATTTTTAAATATTATCGTAAATTGAATATTTTTATCATATTTTTGAAAATCAAAATTTTCAAATAAAAAAAAAAAAAAATTTCCTCTATCAAACGCCCCTTAAACTTAATAGAAATATAATCTATCACAGTTCGCTTCTTTTCGTCGTATATATTTCTTGAGGAAAATTTGAAGAGTTTTTAAAATCTAATTATATCTTGATCCATTATTATATGGCTCTGCCTTAATGTGAATTTTGAATTTCTCGTTTCTTAATATAATTACATGTACACTATTTGCTTGACTGGGCCAGGTCAAAAGCAGCCACTAAAGACCCAAGGTATGAATTTTGAAAACGCTATCTAGCCTCATGTTCTCCTTGCTCCTTAAGCAAATGGACTAACCTGGTAACTTCCTTTTTCTTGTCAAAAGGCTATAAATAGAGCAGGTTATCTCAACCTCATCAATTCACACCTGTAACCATTACATCTAAATCATTTCACCTTTGCGCGCTCACAAACACAATCCCCACTTCAAGAAAAATAAGGGAAGGTGACAAACACCAATGGCTCTGATTTCAGCCTTCTTCAATTGCTTTGCACCCTCTTCATCTTCATCAGCTCAAGTCTCTGATTATGCTGAAGGATCTCAATTGAAATCTCCTTCTTCAGAGAAATCAAAGAGCAAACCAAAATCAAAGGGTGCTCCTGTTGTGCTATCTTATTTCCCCGTCAACTATTATCCCTCGCGTTTGTAATGGGGACCAAGTATTCTAAGCTCACAACAGTTCACACAAAGGTTCCCGTTATTAACCAAAAAAAGGGGTGCCTTTGGTGCCGGCCTTTTAGCTTTTTCTGGGTGCTTGGTTTACTTTACGTAGTTCAATTTTAATGTATTATATTTGTCAAAAAAAGGTTTGACATTTTTATTTAATAATGTGTTTGACATGTGGTTTGATGAGTTTTGCAATTTATGTATTATCAAATTCATTAATTAATAGAACACCAGTGAATGATAAACTTATTAATATTTTTAAAACCTTTGCACAAATAGTAATTCCGGAAACCAAGCATGGACTGTGATCTTGATTTGTTCTACATACAATAAATACAGCGTATTGTATCAAGAATAATAACGCGTGCACTTTTTTTTCTATCAAGTGTAAAATATTTTAAATTTGTCTTACAAAATTTTATATATAGCAATGATATTTGCACTAAAGTAGGAAAAACATAAAAGTGGTTTAATTGTGTTTTAAAATTTTTGACTTTTTCTACAAAAGGAATCACAATTAAACTTTTTCTCAAATCTAAATATTTAGGGTTAAGTAGGTTCAATATTAAAAAAGGAGTTAGATGGTTGTCTTCAAGATAGCGCAAGGAGTTAGATGGTTATCTTTCCTTGATTTATATCCCCTCTTTTCGATCTGAATGGATTAGGAATCTCTAATTGGAGGTTACTATTTGTATCTTGAATCAGTATCTTCACAGATGTATTGTTAGGGGTCGCAGATCAGTGTGCACGAAAGAGAAACGACATAGCCAGAGTATGGCATGTGTGCATAGTGATAGCTAAGAGTAGCAGAGCGTAAAGTGTGTATCTGGTTGCCTTAATCCTTTATTTATAAATAGGTTACCTTGTAGAAGTAGAGTTCTAATCACCTTAGGAATGTTGGGAAGTCTTATCCTCTATCTCCTAATGAGGTGATAAGATTGTTACCCTTGTCTCTCTTAGTTGGTTCTTTGTTGTGGAGTTGTTGTGTAATGCCCAGCCGCTTCAAGAATCAATGATTGTCCCCTCAAACTAACACAACACTTTTCGGCGTGCTTTGTCCTCACTCAGACACTTCCTGGGTAAACTTTCCATGAGGTCATCCATCCCAGAATTGCTCCAAGTTAAGCATGCTTATCTATGGAGTTCTTCTATTCTGGGCTATCAAAAAGTAGATGCATCTTGTTATTCTAGGTAGTACCAATTAATTCTTATAAGCTATCCCTAATTGTAGAGTCCTATACATGTACGGTCTTTGGAATCCCTCTCTTTTGGGTGTGTATTATATTCATTCATATACCTCTCCACTGGAAGCCTGCCAGGAGCCGCTCCTTGCCCGTGCTTCCTTGCACCTGAGATCATTCTCCACCTCGTCAACCACCGGATGTTACATGCCCACCAGCATCAGCCTAGTTCGTGCTTAAACCACACTGTACTGGAAGAGAGGCCTTGTTCTGATACCACTTGTAACGTCCGACCATTTCAAGAATCAATGATTATCCCCGCAAACTAATACAAAAATTTTTAACGTGTTTTGTCCATCCCAGAATTACTTCAAGTTAAGCACGTTTAACTATGGAGTTCTTCCATTATGGGTTACCGAAAAGTAGATGCATTTGTTAGTCTAGGTAGTATAACAATTAATTCTTATAAGTTATCCCCAACTATAGAGTCCTATACATATACAGTTTTTGGAATCCCTCTCTTTCGAGTGTGTATTCGATTCATTTATGTGCCCCTCCGCTGGAAGCCTTTTAGGAGCCGCTCCTTGCCAGTGCCTCTTTGCACCGGCGATCACTTCCCGTCCTCGTCAGCCATCGAGATGTTACATGTTGAGATATGAGCCTGTAGGATAGGTCCATAACACCCTCTAAAGTAAATTTTTAACATGTGGCCAATGAAACTTCTTTAAATGGAGACACTTCTTTAACCACAAATTGTCCAGACCATTGGACAAGGACTTACCAATGGGGTCTTAAATATAGTCCGATAAGTCCACAAGGTGTAACAGCCTGTTGTACACCGGTATTGTTAACATTGATTATGATATTAAGCGCAGTTACACTCACAGTAATTCATTTATAAAAATGCGAGTAAACTTTTTCCTTTTTATTACGCGAGCATTTAAAACAATAATAAGGCGTAATAAATAAAAGTTGTGACTGTAACTGAAAATTAATTGCGGAATAATAATATAACATGCCTAGATATCATATAACACTTCTCTCAACTCACTAAAGGGTTCCCATAAATCCACTTAGCTTAAACCTCACTTTTTGGTTTTCTACCTATCTGAACATGGTTCGGTATTTTAATTACAGCAGATAAACCGCATGACACGCGCTTCTCATATTTTAGTATGTTGTTCTACACTTAATTATCTTTCTAACAAACTATCACAAGAGTCATAAAGTTCTCGTTTTCTTCGGATATCACCGTTTGAAGTTGGACATGCAAATCTGCCTGCCAACCTCAATCAGGGCTCCAAACAGTCCTCACTCTATCAACGATTCTGGAAAATCCACTTAACCAATTGCTCTCAAATTTTTATACAGTAAACTAGACACCTCAAGCTTCAATTTTTATACAGTAAGTGACTTGAGAGAAGTGTTTGAAGATATTTAGACTGTTTAACTAATTATTCCGCAAAGAGTTTTTAGTTACGGTCACAACTTTTATTTATTACGCGTTATTAGTGTTTTAAATGCTCGCGTAATAAAAAGAAAAAAGTTTACTCGTATTTTTATAAATGAATTGTTGTGATTATAGTTGCGCTTAATATCATAATCAATGTTAACAATACCGGTGTACAACGGGCTGTTACATCTAGCCCATGTGGGTTAGGGCCAAAAAGCCCACAGTGATATTGGCCCACATGGGCCACAAGCCCTATGGGTTAGGGTCAGCCGGTGGGCCTTTCAAAAATTTAATGTGTATATTTTTTGTTAAACAAAAAGCCCATACTTGATTTTTATTAAACTTTTTGTAATTTTTCAATCTCAAGCAACAACCTAAATCTTATAAAACAATCAGATACAAATGCTGGACAAAATGAAATAAATTTCCATAAAAATTTGGGCAGAAACAACTACTATTTATCATAATATTCACTATTGCTAAATCTTTTTTCTTTAGCTAGCAGATGGGGCTTTCACATGATTGGGATTAGATGAATCAACTAGTTTGATGAACTAACTATGACACAACTACTATTTATTATAATCTCGTGTGTGTAATTGTCCAATTTTGTTTAAGACTATACAGGGTTAGCTAATTATGAAGCGATTATTTAGCTCAATTTTACCTGGTTAGATCAAGCAACAATTCAAAAAGCCTAATGTTCAGTTAAATTAAACAGACACCACCAAAAGAGAAGGCAAAGAGATTATAATTGTGTGACATCTATGAAAAAGAATGTTCATATAACTTAACAAGCAGACCACAATAACCATCGATAAAATATACAAAAATTAAGTTAAGAATATAAAAACAGAAATTCATCATAAAGATAAGAGCATATTTGCTTAAAACTTCATTTCCAGACAACGGCCATTAATTTTTTGAAAGAAGTAATTTAATAATAAATAATTTTTACAAAATTAGTATAGTAATAATATAATATTTAAAGAACTAATTTTTTGAATTACTCTTAAAAAAACAATGAAACCAGGTCATATTTCGGAGCTCACCATTATCATTTATCAATAATCTCTAATTGCTTTATTAGTGTAATGATGTTGTTAAGTACCAATATTTTTTCATTTCCCAACCACTTTTACATGTTCTTTTCGGTGCTAGCCACTTTTACATGTTAACTAATAAAGGACATTTATTTTTTACTTTGCTTTCATCATCAAGCTGTACCTTTAACAATTAATTTGTTCATTATTTTGTATCATTAATTTGAAATATAGAATAAAATATTAATATATATATATATATATATATATATATATATATATATATATATTTTTAAATTAATTTAATTAACGGAATATATTATTTTAGTTTGTAATTATATATTACATACAATTATAGCGTAAAAAATATAGGTGTTTGAAAATTTTATTTTTAGAAAAATCTAAAAAAATGATTTAATTGATAGAAAATAATTTTATTGTTAATTTCCAAATATAACATTATTGCTAATGTTAATTGAAAAAATTTGAATATTGATTTAAATAAATTAAGAATCTTTTCCTGTTATTTTTAGCTTGATCCGCGGGCTGGCCCCATCCAACCCAAGGGATGAGAGGGCCATGTGGGGTTAGGGCCAATAACAACCCATCTTTGATAGGGCCAAAAATACATGGGGCTGAAAATGGGGTTGCATGGGCTGTCCCATGGGCCCATTTTGACAGGTCTAGGAAGGATGATGTAAAGTTAATATAATTTAGTTAGTGATGGTTTGAACCAAGTTTAAATAGGTTGTGTGACTAGGTAATGCATGTGACTTGGAAGCAAAATCATTAGATGTGCCTGGGTGTTGATTTCGGCCTAAAAGAGAAAATTTAGGAAAAATGATGTTTAGTTGTAATTTAATGAAGTTATGGACTTTAAATGGTAATGTCATGGGCTTAGGAAGTCATAGGAATATTAAAATAAAATTAACAACATAATATGTGTAAAATGGCCTTATAGCCGAAATGGTGTTTGTGGGGGGGGGGGGGAGTTTATTGTGTTGTATTTCAACTTGATTTACAAGTAAATTGA